CACCTCTCTTTGGAATGGGCACAAATATGGATCTCTTCCAATCAGTCGGCCAGATAGTTGTCTTCCAAATTTCTTGGCAGAGATGAGTGCCTCATCTTTCTCCTGTGGAACAGCTGGTAGTTTCGAACTGCTGAACCTTGCAGTTCACAGCCCGATTGGTAACCACTATGCTACCAGAGCACCATTGGACTCCATATTAGGGGTGAGTTAATTACATGTTTGACCAAATATTAGCAAGCTAATTTTTTTTTTTTTTAGTGTTTTACTGTGAATTATATGATAGTTTACATGGGAGAACATTAGTTTTACGTTCATTCTATCGTACATCGTATCATTGCCATGGTTACAATCTCCTCCATGCATCATCAACCAAACCAAAGGGTATATACCCTGCAAGCCAAATGTGACATAGCAGGCTAATTTTTAAGTTACTAATTAAATTAAATATTTGATCAACTATAGCAGGCTAACTTTTAAGTTGAAAATTTTGTCTGGTACACGAATGATGTTACAAATTTCTGCAGAAAAAAGGTTCCCACCCCTGCTTTACAGGGTCACCATTGGAAACCCTTTATAGAGTCACCATGAGTCTGAACTGACTCAAAGGCAGTTAACAAGAACATTCTAGTGGATGTGTGCCCCCAGGTGGTGCAATTGGTTAAGAGTTCAGCTACTAACTAAAGAAAGACCTAGTGAGCTACTTATAAAAAAGGTCACAGCCCTCAAAAACTCTGTGGAGCACAGTTCTATCCTGAAACACATGTGGTCACTAAAGAGTGAAAACCAACTAGTTGGCAACCGGTTTGGTTTTTTGTTTTTTGTTTTTGTTTTTAGTGGCTGTATAGTGTTTACTCATTGTGGTTTTAATTTGCATTTCCTGATGACTAATAATGCTGAGCATCTTTTCATGTGCTTATTTTGAGCTATTTTTAAATACTCCATTGGTGATAAGACTAACTCTAAGTCTGGACAAAGGTGCAGTGTTACCTAACAAGTGTCATAAAATAATCTCATTTATCAGCTGGCTTTGAAGTCCTTTCCTGAGTTTAAATTCTCACACCTGAGGGATAGAGTTACTTTTTTGAATTAAAAAAAAAATCCAAACCAATTTAAGGAACAGTTTCTTAAATATATAATTTGGTTGGTTGGTTATGTGATGTGGAATCGGTTCCGATTTACAGTGACTCTGTATGGTTTCCGAGGCTGTAAATCTTTAAGGAGCAGAAAGCCTCATCTTTCTTCCACGGAATGGCTGGTAGTTTCAAACTGCAGACCTTGAGGTTAGCAGTTCAACTCATAACCCAGGTTGAGCTAAAATGCATATGTTATCTGTTGTTGTTAAGTGCCGTCAAGTTGATTCTGACCCATAGCAACCCTTTATAGGGTTTCCAAGGAGCAGCTGGTGAGACCGCCAACCTTGCAGTTCAAACTGCTTTGCAGTCTGGTGCATTAACCCACAGCGCCACACTGTAAGTGAAGTGAAAATCCTGGACATTCCCTCCCACACTTCCTTCCTCAGCCTTCTTGCTCTCTCCTTCAGGTACCCCATCCACTATTTTCCTTGATCTAATCATATATTCACTGTTATCAGTGAATCTTCCATCAGAACAGATTATGTTACTAGAGCAGCTAAAGGTCATTCAGAAATCATAGACTGTGCTTTGAGGGACTGGCAGGGTGGAGATACCCTTAGTGGGAATGGAGAGGAGGGAACAGGGGATAGAAAATTGTAGAAAAAATTGAAATGGCACCAGATAGGACACCTGTCTGGTAAACACTGTTTTACCAGTATTTGGGAATAGGTGGGCTGAGGAGATGGGGAAGATAACAGTGAATATATGATTAGATCAAGGAAAGTAGTGGATGGGGTACCTGAAGGCGAGAGCAAGAAGGCTGAGACAAGAAAGGAGGAGATACTGAAAATAAATTACCTCCTTCATAGTTCTGTTCTAAATTTGGTCATAGATTTCTTCTAAAGCACTGTTACCTTAGAATAACCATACTTGAACAGTCGTCTCTTTGACAAACTAGTGGTTAAGAGTTCAGGCTCTGGATTCAGAGGCCTGTGGTCAAAGTTTGGCATTCCCATTTGTTAGTTGTATTACTTTGGCAAGTTGCTTTATCTTTTCATACTTTAGTTTCTTCCTATTAAATAAGGATACCTCTGGTAGCGTAGTGGTTACGAATCGGGCTGTGAAACTTAAGGTCAGTGGTTCGAAACTACCAGCCGCTCCGCAGGAGAAAGATGAGGCTTTCTACTCCCGTAAGGATTTACACCCTCGGAAACCCTGTACTGGGTCGCTATGGGTCGGCTCCGACTCAAAGGCACTTAACAACAACAACAACAATCATCTCCTTTCCTACCAAGATAAAGTAATTTATAGGAATAAAATGATTCAAGATTGGGGTGGCTAAGGAGGAAAAGGAAAGTTGTGAGGATTAAATGAATTAATAGTTTAAAAGCATTTAGGACATTGCTAGCCAGGTACTGGTGTGGCGCTGTGGGTTAATGTGCCAGACTGCAAAGCTTGGTGGTTCAAGCTCACCAATCGCTCCTTGGAAACCCTATGCAGGGTCGCTATGGGTCGGAAACTACTCAACGGCACTTCACAACAACAAGCCAGGTATTAACCACTCAATAACCATTAGCAATGAATACAATTTTAACACCTTGACATTACTTTCAAGGCACTCCATAATCTGACCTCTGCTCATTTAACTTTCTTTTCTATTACACTCTTTGGAGGCTTGGTGATTTCCTCACTCATTAATCTGTGCATAACTTCTGGTGGTTTCCATTGCCTGGAAGTTCCTTAACAATTTGAATCCTGCTCAGCCTTCAAAGCTCACTTCAAATCCCATTTCCAAGTAACCTTATTACTTTCATTCTCAACCATCTTCCCATCTGAATTCACAGTACCATGGAATTTAGTGAATAATTACACACATCCATTATTCCTTCAAGTGAATCTTAGCTTTGTCTTTCAATAACCTTAAACTCTCTGAGGGAGAGACAATGTTTGATACTTCTGGGCCCTCTTCCAGTGGACTGAGCATATCACTTTTATTACATTTCTAGTATCTGTAAAGAGATCAAACACAGGCAGCAGAGGAGGATATAGAGAATTCAGAGCTTTAATGACAGATTAGTTGGAGTGGGGACGACAGCTTCTGTCCTAGCTGTGCATTCTCCAAAGGCAGAGACTCCTTCATGAAAGACCCACACAATCCCCACTTTTTCTGAACCAGGAAAGCTGAGGACACCTTAGCCACATATATTTGTCAAACAAATCCTTAATCATTACCTTCCCTCTCCAACTTCCAACAGAAAATGTTAGTTCTTTAGTGTCTTATATGCTCAAATAATGCGCACAGTTATACAGTCTTTGCAAACTACAAAACTCCCTCTACTTAGTTTTCCATGTGTTCTATGCATGTTATATGTGTGTGCAGTTATTTAAGTAGACACATTGTTTGTGAAAAATATGGTAGTTAGCATATCTTCCTTCTCAGAAGTCTCAACCCTTAAGTTTTCTGATCATTAGGAACCCCTTAACCTCTAAGCCTGTATGGATGGTCTCAGGAATATATGAACTGGAATAGTCAGCTTACTATAAAGGGGACTTAGAAATTTGGTGACGAGCCCCTAGAGAAGTGTGGAATGCAAATCTTTGCTAGAATCCTTGTCCTGTGATAACTTCAGCCCTGGTCTGCAGCCTTATCTGACTCCGGGTAACGTCAATGTTTCTGGTGTCTTCTCAGTTTCCTTCAGTGTTTATGTTCTTCCCTGACAATCCCTGTCTCCATATCATCCCCAAACTAGCCATGGGATTGCTGGCCTAATTACTGAATGCAAAACCACAGAACAAAGAGCCCAGAAAAGAGTGGGGCTAGGAAGGATGCAGAGCAGAGATGAGCCCCAGCATCTGAGGGGAAGAGATGCAGCTTCTCTAAGTCTGGCAGGAAGGCTCGGGCATCCTCCAGAGCTATCTGAGCTGCCACAGTGAAGTTGGGATCGCCGGAGATTAAAACATCAAAGACACAGGAGTGGAAGTAAGCATCTTCAACTGGCAGTCCTTCCTTGCACAATTGTCTGGCAGTATCAATGGTGATAGCTCCCCGACGACTGTGCTCTGATCGAGAGAGTCGCTGACTTGGGGGGCACCCTCCCACACAGAGCTGCAGGTCCTGCTCAGCTGAGAAGGCCCTGGCTACCTCCTCAGCTACCTTGATGGAGAAGGAGAGCTGCCCAGCTGTCTGCCGAATGATTATGGTTGTGCCAATATAGGCAGCTTGGATCTCCACGTGGCTCCCAGGGTCAGCAGTTTGAATGGACAAACTTGAGCCCCCAGGTCGGTCCCCTCCATTAATAGAACCATCTTCAAAGGCTGCAGGAAGATTGTCCACTTCAGCTTGGTAGACCTTCTGGTCAATGCATTCCTGCATGTTCTTGAATATGATGGTGAGCTGTGAGGTCAAGAGGAAAATTCGTTCATTTTGGGCTTAGTGCACCCTTACCCAAACCAATCCAGCCTCAGAACATAGTCAGGGATCCACACTAATGTGCAAGACTTATCATGGCCCTCATTCCTTGATCCCATCTCCAATATTGCCTCATCCCAACTCAACCCGCCCCCTCCTTTTTAGCACCTTTGACTGTAGTTTCCCTTCTGAAACTCCTCAACCCAGATGTCCTCAGTTCTCAACTTTTTCTTTAGAATAGTCTGGGTTTGAGTTTAATTTTCATCAAAGGACAGTGAATTAGAGAATCAAGTTTATTGATGATGAGGAAGTGGTTAAAAAGGAAAAAAACTTTAGAGCCTTGCGGTGGAGTAGTGAGGATGGAGAGGGAATGGCACCAAGAGGTGACCATGAAAGGCTCTCTTGAGTCGGGACAGGAGGAACAATTGAGTCCCTGACCTTCCGGGTGGTGGTGGCGTTGGCCCCCGAAGCTACGGGGGAGCTGGTGGCCTGGACAAAGAGAAAGTCGTTATCCAGCAGGGGCCAAGATCCTTGGACTCGGCACGTGTGAAAGTGATGGTGGAAGCTGCGCACGTGAGGGTCCCCGAAGGAGGCGCAATGCAGGAAGCCCGGGGGACGACCGTGCAGCCGGGAAAATCGGCCTTCATAATCACAGGGGTCAGGAGCTGGGGGACCGGAAGAGCGGACTGGGCCTGCGCCTGCGAGGGCAGGGCCTCGGGGCGGAGGCGGGGCCGTGGGACCCTGGCGGGAGCAGTTGTGCTGAATCATCAGGTCTTCGATGCCGTGCACTGCTGAGTGGAAGGCGAGGTCCCCTCGGCAGGTGCGGGCCGTGCGCCGAGTGCAAAGTGCGTAGGAGCGGAGGGCACGGCAGAGGCCGCCGGAGCCCACCCCGCCACCCCGGCCTCCTCCTCCTCCTCCTCCTCCTCCTTGAAGCGCTCCTGGCGAACCACTGCCTCTTAGACTTAGAGTGGACGAAACATACTCAGCGTTGCAGCGGAGGATCTTGCATTGAGAATGAGCTGAGGGCAGAAAGGAGAGGATCCTGATTTCCGTTTCGTCGGAGTATACTCATCACTCTCCCAGACTTCATTAGGGGATTCCAGACAATCCTAAAACCCAATTGAGGGCCTTCTCCAAAGCACAACCCACAGCCAGGTCCTCACTGTCTTACCCAAACTACGCAAACCAGCTAGATCTCTTCGCTTTGTAGGCCAAGGGCTTCCCCAGTGCCCTTCCCCAAGCTGAGTGTAAATTAAAATATACCTATTTGAGAGTTGGGCAAGTGACTATGATTTCTCAGCACTCATCTCTTCTTGCTCACGCATGCTCACATATAATGTCGCCACTAAGGTTGGTGTCACACCGTGCAGCAACTCATGCTGTCTCCCCATGCCCCAATGGACCTTTTCCCATCCAGACCATACAGATTACTTTTTTGTTGTTAAGTACTGTTGAGTCGGTTCTGACCCAGCAACCCTGTATAAGGCTTTTGAGGAGCGACTGGTAGGTTTGAGCCGCCAACCTTGCGGTTAGCAGTCCAGTGCTGAACAGCGCCACACTTAGAAATGTGTGTGGCTCTGCGGTTTAATGCACTGAACTACAAGGTCGGTTTGAACTGCGTGATTGGCAGTTCAAGCTCACCAGTCGCTCTTTGGAAACCCTATACAGACAATCAACAGCAATTAACAACAGTATCAATTTTAACCATAATGTGTTCTGTTGTGGCGCTATAGGATTAGCACTGGACTGCTAACCTCAAGGTTGGTGGTTTAAATCCACCAGCTGCTACTTGGAAACCCTGTACTTGGGCCACTATTAGTAGGAACTGACGCAATGGCACTTAGCAGCAACAGAAAAATTGGTTAAACATGAAATCTTCTTAGATAATATGAATACGAACAACAAAATTGTTTTGTAAAATCTACAATGAATTATGTTACAATTTTATTAGTAACTAAGTGAAAGCCATTCCCCCCTTCTTTCCTGTTAATTACTTCATTCTCAAAAAAGTAACTGATACAGGTTCACAAATGCTAACAAGCACAAATTTAAGCTAAAACACTATAAAAATGGACAAAATCAGAGACTATAAAAACACTGGCATGGAAATGAAACCATGTGACTAAAAACTTCATTGTAGTTAGGTAACAATGACAATTCTGACCAGAACACATGAGAAGGGTCAAAAGTAAATTCGCATTGAGTTTTAATCTTGTAGGTTTACTGGTACATGTAAGCTGGGCTTATGAAAGATGTTTTTATTGTTATAACTAACTGTTGTTGTTGTTAAGGGCTGTCCAGATGGACCAAACTCGTAGCGACCCAGTATAGAGTTTCCAAGGAGCAGCTTGAGCTGTTGACCTTGTGGTTAGCAGTCCAGTGCTTGTCCTACAGCACCACACCAGGATTCCTATAATTGACTATAGAGAATTTTTATTTTAAAAAGAGTACATTTTGGTAAAAGACTGCACAATAGTTTTATAGGCAGTCGTTTTGGTGTTACCCTGACAGTGTCACCTGGGAGAGTCTACACCCCCCTGTACCACCCTAGTGATGCTGTTGCTCACGTACCCACCCCTACATAGAGGCCTACCCTCTAGATTTTCCCAAACCCTTCCCTGGCCCTTCCTTACCATGTCCACAGAGGAGCAGCAGGAAAGTGAGAGTGCTTAGAGTTGGGGGATTGCCATGGGGGGACCGGGGACTAGGGGACTGGCCTGGATCCCCCATACCTATCCATCCAGGTCCCCCCAGGCTCCGGTTCTTTCCAGCTGATGACCCTCCTAGCTAGTGAATTTTGACCGGATGTCCTGTAAGGGACTGAAAAAAGAAATTTGGCTGGGCATAGGGGACAAAGATTGGTCAGGATTACATGAAGAGAATCTAGGGAGATCAAGAAAAGCATAAGAGGAAGGAGTTTGAGGAGAACGGGGCTCCCTAAACTATAAGTGAGGCTGGTAAGCCTCATGCCCTGCTACTGTGGCCACTTTCAGGTCCCTTGTGCAATACCCTTGACTGGGGGCAGAGGGAAAATTGAGTAGATTGATGGGGCAGAGTCCACTGTATTGACCCATTCTGAGTTACCAAACAGCAGAAATGCTAAAATCAAAGAATCATGGGGATAGATCAGATCCTGGTCACCCTAGTGGACACTCAATTAGAATTTTTAGTTTTTCTTTGTTAGGTGCCATCAGGTTGATTCCGACTCATAGTGACCCATATAAGACAGAGTAGAACTGTCCCATCGGGTTTCCAAGACTGTCATCTTTACAGAAGCAGACTGCTACATCTTCCTACCATGAAGCAACTGGTGGGAATTGCTGACCTTTCCACTAGCAGCCAAGGGCTTGACCACTGCACTACCAGGATTCCTTTCCATAGAATTAGGATCTGAAAAGACATCAGAAACATATTTCTTCTTTGCCCCTCCCTATCAGGAGGGGACATCCTCCAGGAACCATCCATATTTCTTCTGGCTTTTAGTCAGAATTTCCAGTGAGAAAGAGTAAGGATGGAATATCTAGCTCCTCTCTGGAACATCAGTATTCAAAGGCAAAAGGCTTTTTCATCTGCTCTGGACAGCCAAATTATGATCCCTTCCACTCATGTAATAATGGGATACAAACCAAGCATGTGACTTAATATTTGTTGTTTTCTGAGTCAATAACACTTCTTGAATTTTTCAAACCTTACTGAAAAACCACTTTCCCATTATTCTTTCTTTTGCAAACTCTGAAGTGCTCAATCCCCCTTTGATGAGGATGGGAGTTTAGGAAGGTCCAACTCCTTCCTGGAGTCCTGGTGTGGTGCTGTGGGTTAATGCATGGGACTGCAAAGTGGGTTTGAACTGCAAGGTCGGTGGTTCAAGCTCACCAGCCACTCCTTGGAAACCCTATACAGGGTCAGTATGGGTCGGAACTGACTCCACAGCACTTAACAACAACAAACTCCCTCCTGCTGGTTTCTCCTCTTTTGTGGTAAGGGTGTGATGTGGGAGAAAAGTCATGCATGAAGAAGAATAGGATGGAGGAATTAAGAGTTGTGGGGAGAAATCACTTACAACAAGTGGTAATCCCACCCCCCTTGGAAACACAATATGAAGGGCACTGATAAACAGTATGGACAGGGTAGAAGGGTGTCAGTAACTAATCATATGAGGCTAAATTTGACCTCGGTAAGAAAACCACAGAATGGATGGTGTGAAGAACACCTCCCAAATCATCTTCATAACTCTAGAGATACAAAGTCAAGAGGGAGTGGAGACTGCCAGAGAATAGGAGGAGGATTAAGCTTCAAATGGCCAGAGGCCAGAAAGAAGTAGAGACAGAAGGAGAAATGGAGATTGGAGCACCTTGGTATGGGAGAGAGCCTACTTAGCTTTTGGACCAGAGACCCCAATATAGGTATCTATAATTTTATAAAAGTCCAACTTTAGTCCAAAAGCTTTTTAAAGTAATCACAATTTCATTTTGACTTACTGTTTTCAGAGGTCAAACATTACTCTGTTATCCAATTCTCCAGCCATGACTGCCTACTCTGGTGGTCAGCTCCAGCCAAGGGGTCTCCTGTCTCTTTCTCCATGTCTCCCACAGGTCTCCAGCCTGGCTGCAATCTCACTGAGGTCAGGGAGACAGAGAAGGTTTGGTGTTGGGGGAAGGGGGAGTATATGGCTGGCTAGAACACTGGACAGCTGGGCGGGGGAGGGAGGTGGCTATTGAGTTGACGGTTTTAAAAATAGCTAAGTCCAAAATTCCAGGAACGTTCATGGGGGTAGGGTGTGGGTGTCAGGGTAGTGGGGAAGGGTAGAATTAGGAAGACTATGGAATATAGGGTGTCAAGATAGTGGTAGAGAGGAGGGAGAGAAATGTAACAGGCAAGTCAAATGTCCAATTCTAGCTTGTGTAACTCCACACAAGTCATTGCTTACTCCAGGCAGCCCTCCAGCATTCTCAAGAATGAGCTTCTGGTCTTGAAAAATTGCAATGGGAAAATGGATACATTGCCCTCAGCACTCTCATCTCTGCTATGTTGAATATTGCAGGGAGGTAGCTCACTTTAAATAAAATCTATAGTAGATACAGCCACAGCTCCTTCCCCATCTTTACAGAGTATTTTAGTAGGACTGAAAAAGCCAGCTGTCCAGAGAAGAAATCTGAGCTTCAAGTTGTTTAGCATGAGAGTTTGTTCAGTCCATTAGCTCAGATCCCTGCAGCTGTCTATCACCCTGGCCTCCTCCAGTTTCATTCCCCTTAGCTTGGGCATCAATTCCCCCTCACTCCACCATACCAATAAACAAAAATTACAACTTCCTGAGTTGCCAGGGGAAGAAGGCTAGGAAAGGGAGAGGTGAAGAAAGAATGGGGATAGAATTTTTTAAAGGCTACTAATCCACAAAAAGGAGTTCTGGTAGCGTAGTGGTTACGAATCGGGCTGCTAACCTCAAGGTTGGCAGTTGGAAACTACAAGCCGTTCCGCGGGAGAAAGATGAGGCTTTCTGCTCCCGTAAAGATTTACAGCCTCAAAAACACTGTTGCAGGGTCACTATGAGTCAGAACCGACTCCACGGTACTTAACAACAACAACAATCCACAAAGGAGCTCCGGTAGTGATTATGAGTTGGGCTGCTAACTTCAAGGTCGGCAGTTTGAAACTACAAGCCGTTCCGCGGGAGAAAGATGAGGCTTTCTGCTCCTGTAAAGATTTACAGCCTCGGAAACCCTATGAAGGGTAGCTATGAGTCGGAATCGACTCCACAGCATACCACCAGATCAGTTTGAACCACACGACCAGAGGTTCAAACCCACCAGCTGCTCCTCGGAAACCCCATGCAGGGTCGCTATGGATCGGAACCAACTCGACAGCACATAACAACAATAACACTAATACACAGGGGAGGGACAGAGAGAGAGTGAAAATCAAACTAGGGCCTCCACAATCAGAAGCAATTATCTTATTTTTCTAGAAAGAGAAAACATTTTAAAAATTCACTTATCTGTTTAAAATTAAGAATAATGAACACAAAACTTTTCAATAAATGCGGCAAATGATGACAAGGTACTTTGATTCTGTATGATGGCCATTTATGGAAGAAAGAATGAAAACAATTATTGAGAAAAAAGAAAGAAGGAAGCAGAATGTCAGAAATGGAGAAACTGCCATAGAGAAAAAGAGATTCGGAAAGACACTTTAGTGGAGTAACAATCTTTTGACTTTTTAAAGATATTGTGTGTGTGTGTGTGTGTGTGTGTGTGTATGGTGGTGCCAATGCGTTTCTGACTCATAGTGACCCTGCATAGGGTTTCCGAGGAGCAGCTGGTGGGTTTGAACCGCCAATCTTGAGGTTCAAGCTGAATTGAGATTCAAGCTGACCTTATGGTCCAAAGCAATATCCTGCAAGACCACACCAGGACTCCTGTGGTTTGTTGTTGTTGTTTAGTGCTGTTGAGTCGGTTTCAACCCATAGTGGTCTTGTATAGGGTTTCCAAGGAACAGCTGGTGAGCTTGAACTGCTGACCTTGCAGTCTGGCGCATTAACCCTCAGCACCACACCAAGACTCCTGTGGATTAGTAGCCTTCAAAAAAGTCTATCCCCATTCTTTCTTCACCTCCTTCCCTTTCCTAGCCTTCTTCCCCTGGCAACCCAGGAGGCTGGAATAGTGATCTTGTATGACGTATTACATTGGGCAAATCTGCTGCACAGGAACTTTTTAAAGTGTTGAGGAGCAGAGATGTCAGCTTGAGGACTAAGGTGCGCCTGACCCAAGCCATGGTATTTTCAATAACCTCATATGGATGAGAAAGCTGGACGGTGAATAAGGAAGATCGTAGAAGAATTGATGCCTTTGAGTTGTGGTGTTGGAGGAGAATACTAAAAGTGCCATGGGCTGCCAAAGAACCAATAGATCTGTTTTGGAAGAAGTGCAGCCAGAGTGCTCCTTGGAGGCCAGGATGGCTAAGCTTCGTCTCTCATACTTAGGACATATTGTCAGGAGGGAACAGTCGCTGGAGAAGGATGTCATGCTGGGTAAGATGGAGGGTCAGAGAAAAAGAGGAAGACCCCCAACGAGATGGATCGGCCAGGTGGCATCATTGATGGCGTCAAGTGTGGCAGCGGTAGTGAGGTTGGCTTAGGATCAGACATTGTTTCGTTCTACTGTGCATGGGGTCGCTATGAGTTGGTTCCGACTCGATGGCACCTGACAACAACATAGGGTTTCTGAGGCTGTAAATCTTTTGCAGGAGACTCATCTTTCTTCCATAAAGGGCTGGTAGTTTCGAACTGCTGATATTGAGGTTAGCAGCCCTACGGGTAACCACTATGCTGCCAGATTACCACCAAAGAATTTAGCCATTTCATGTTTTTGCAGTCATAGACATATCTGTGTTCATCATCCCTTAGTACAAGCCTAGTGAAATGAACAAAAATGTTGATTCAAAATAGTGTTGCCAAGGCACCCGTACCAATTTACCCTATATGTAATTCAGAATCTAGAGGACTAAACAATACTATTTATATGCATATGAAACTGATAAATTTAGGAGTTTTTTTCTTGAGAACATCATGAGGGGAGTCCTGGTGTGGGGCTGTTGGATAAACATTAGGCCGCTAGGTCAGTTTGAACCACAAGGCTGGTGGTTCAAACTCACCAGCTGCTTCTTGGAAGTTATGAGTTGGAACTGACTCGACAGCACCTAACAACAACATATCATAAGGAGTGTTTGTTTTTTTAAAATAATAATCTAAAACTCTCCTAATCAAACTATCCAAGTGACTTTAAAACACAATAATTTGATTGTGACATCCCAAGTGGGATATATCCTAATGATAAGAAAAATGCAGAAATATCTTGAGGTAGTCATACTGGTTGTAGTGTTGGTATTGTTATTCTGAAATTATTATGGAATAAATTGTAATAATGTTAGTGTCTGAGACCTAAATTTTTTTTTTATTATTAAATAAATGTTTTATTGTGAATTGTGATAGTCTACATGGGAGAACATTAGTTTTACATTCATTCTATCATCTATCGTTTCATTGGCATATTTACCATCCCATTCATGCATTCTCACCCAACCAAAGAGTGTACCCTGTAAGCCTACCCCCCCCCCCTCAACACACACACAGTCCTCAGCCCCTTTCCCTCTCCGGATCCCAAGTCCCCAGCCACTCCATCTCTTGACGTCTGTCCAAGTTGCCCATCCCTGTCTACCCTTTGTGTGAGGGGGTAGGAATAGTTCTTGCAGCAGGGATTTGTTTCCTCTTTTGAGCTACTGTGTTTATAGGTATAGGTCATGTTTATCAAATTGTATCAGATGACGCTTTTTTCCTCTTCTTTCTTCTTTGGGTTGAGCTCTGTTTATTTAGTCATTGAAGCCAGGTCAAGTGGGTATCATCTGCAAGTGTGGGTGTTCTTGCGTCTGTTCGCCCTCTTTTTATCGGCTGGCCGCCCTGCTCTCCATTCTAGTCCTCTGTGGCTGTGTCATTGACTCTGAGCCCATGAGTTCCCAGGTCTTGTCTCGCTGCTGGACGACCAGGTGAGACCTAAAAATTTTAGTATGGAATAAAGACATATAGATCTATAATTGATACATTTAAGTAAAAACCCTGTAATTTAAATTTTAAATAGGAAATATAACTGTGAATTCATGGTGTATTTTATCCTAAAAAAAATTTCCCTTAGCTTTATCCTGAAAAAGGTCTAGAAATTATCCAATAGCAATGAACACCCTAGTGTCCAAATCTAATACCATTTCCCACTAAAAGGAACTGATATTCTTTGGAGAAATAGTTGATTCCAGGTTTGGAGCAGTAATTATCCAAAATAAGCCAGAAAGAAACTTTCAAAGACTTGTATTGTATCTAAAGGACTCAGAAGCCAACTAGAATAGTTCCCACTGGCCAAGATGGGGCAATCTGAACATCAAAATGAATAATATTTGCAATAGAATGTTGTTGTTGTTAAATGCTTTTGAGTCCGTTCTGACTCATAGTGACCCAGTATAGGGGTCCTGAGGAGCAGCTGGTGGATTTTAACAACTGACTTTGTGGTTCACAGTCCAGTGCCTATTCTATAACACCATACCAGGAGTCCCTGTAATAGATTGTTGTTGTTGTTAAGTGCTATCAAGTTAGATCTGACTCGTAGCAACCCTGTATAGGGTTTCTGAGGAGTAGCTGGTGAGTTTGAACCACCGTCCTTGCTGTTCAAACCAACATTACAGTCTAGCACATTAACCTGCAGCGCCACACCAGGACTCCATAATAGATTGAAACATCTCAAGTAAGTTTAAATCTCTGAGTTCATAATGATTCTTTAAAAATAAAACTCAATGGTTATCACTGTTATTGTTTAGTGCCGTTGAGTCAGTTCAGATTCATATCAACCCTGTATAGCGTTTGCATGAAGGAGACGGTGGGTTTGAATTGCTAACCTTGATGGTTCACAGTCCAGCGCTACACTAGAAGTCCATTGGAAAATGCTAAGTTATCATAGCAAAATATCATTTTCAGTCTTTGACCCATAACTGGTTATCATACAGATTTTGAAAATGCTAATAATGTGATGGAAGTGTGGTGGCTCTGTAGGATAAGTACCAGACTGTGAACCACAAGGTTGGCAGTTTGAACTCACTAGCCAATCTATGGGAGAAAGATGAGGTTTTCTGCTCTCATAAAGACTTACAGCCTTGGAAGCCCTATACAGAGTAACTATGAGTTAAAATGACT